AGAAAGGACACCACCAATTCATCATTAATTAATTTTCTACCCCTGATAATCGTTTCCCCCATTTTAAATCCATCCATCAATCTATCTTTTGCTGTTTCGTTGCTTAGGGTAATCTCAAATGATTTTGGGCCTATTGGCCGACACCCAACCAGTCCTCCACACAGGAGCCTGATGTTCTTCAATAATTGCACTACTGAAATCTTGTCCTCTCCTTCAATTTCTATCACCATTGTAAGTTCTTTTTCATATTTTATCTCTCTTACCTTTAGTCCGTGTGTTTTTCTTACCATATCCTCAGTTCCGTTTTCTTTGTCCTGTTGGGCGTCCATGGTCGGTACCGGGTTGTCCATCCTAAAGCGAGAACTGTAACAAAAAGCGCCTCCCCACAGACAAGGCTGATGGGGAGGGATATATTCCACAAAAAAAAATCACTGATTTCTTTGATTTCCGTCAAAAAATAGAAGGAAAGAAAGAAATCATGCACTCTGAGCAAGAGCTAGTCTTACTCAGAGTACTAGCAAAATGTTTGGGTGTGGCGATGTGTTCAGGGTGTCTGGGAATTTCGAAGCACTAGGCTGGTGTGGCCGTAAGCTGAAGGAGGCCTGGCCGAGGCCTTATTTATAACCGAGTAAACACTGGCTGCTGGCTCCAAAATAAAATGCTGGAAACTAAGCTCTGGACTGCACGATGATAATCATAATTGGGACAAATGGCTGAACCCTCTGTTGTTTGCAGTGCGGGAGGTACCCCAGGCCTCCACGGGATTTTCTCCCTTTGAGCTATTGTTTGGCAGGAAACCACGTGGGGTGTTGGACCTGGTTTAGAGCCTCTTCTCCACACACCTAACTTCTGTCTCCCCTTTACACTGCAGACTGATGCGTCGGGCAGAGGGTTGGGGGTGGTTCTGTCCCAGCAGGTGCAGGGTGTCAACCGCCCCGTACTCTACATCAGCCGGAAACTCTCCGACAGAGAGGCCAGGTACAGCACTGTGGAGAGGGAGTGCCTGGCCATCCGGTGGGCGGTCGATGCTTTGCATTATTACCTGCTGGGGCGCTCATTCACCCTCTGCTCGGACCACGCTCCCCTCCAGTGGCTCCACCGCATGAAGGATGCCAACGCGCGGATCACCCGTTGGTATCTGGCTTTACAGCCGTTTAAGTTCAGGGTGGTCCATAGGCCGGGGACGCAGATGGTCGTGGCCCACTTCCTCTCCCGTTCCAATGGGGAGGAGGGGGGAGTGGGCTAGGCCGGACGGCTCCCCGGCCTAAGTCAGGCGGTGGAGGTATGTGGAGGGGGCGTGGCGCTCAGCTGCAGGGGGGAGGGGTGGAAGAGGCTCAGGTGAGAAGTGCCAGGGGAGATGATTAGGCACACCTCGAACCGGTTGGCTAATCACTCTCCCCTCTGTAAAAAGAGTAGCGTGCTGGACCTGGGGAGGACTGGTTTTGAGCAGAGCCGAAGCAGAACCCAAGCCACCAGCTTGGGACCAAGCAGGCGAACGACACCCAACCAAAGAGCCCTAGCCGAGCGTTAACTGTGTTAAGCTAACCGTGTTAAGCTAACCACCTGTGTGCTTACTTTGAGTGTTTGGTGACAAATACTGAAATTGAGTGTTGTATTTCATACTGTTCCTTTCCAAAATAAGACCTAATATAGCTTTAAATCTTTAACTGTATATGTAAACTGCTGATTCTGAGAAGGGAATTAAATTCTTATTGTGGAATTGTAGTAATTTTCCGACTTTTAACTTGAATTCATGTACTGGGTTAGGCACGGAAATCTATTGGCACACCAGCCCCACCAAGATTTTTTTTCACCAGCCGCCACTGCTAATGCAGCATACCAAACTGACAGATTTTCAACAGGCATCAGTGCCTGGTGAAAGACAGAAAGAGAGAGAGACAGAGAGAAGCAAATAAGGGTAAGACTTTTCATTCATACTTCAAAATAAAAGTGCACAAATATGTAGCAGGATAAGATGCATAACTGTTCACTTCAGTTTGAAGTGGATGTATCTGATGCTTTGGTACGTCATGTTTTTTTTTCATTTTACAGTAAACTGAAACCGTCTTTAGAAATATGCTATTTTTATACAGAGCCTTGCAAAATGCAGAGGGTAAAACATTAAGGGATTTACAAGTGCCCCTTGATCAATGGAGTAATTGGGGTAATTTTCTCTCAAGTGGAGAAAGGTCTGCAATTTATACAGACTGTTTGATTGAAACTGGAGATTAGCCTCCGCTAGATTATGTCTAGATAGAACAAAGGTTTCCATCTGTGAGTGAGCACATCTGTATCACCAGCGTTTTAAGATTTGAGGAGATTATAATAAAATGAACATTCTCTCACCACACACAGTTCTCCTCTATTAAAAACAAAAACGTATTTTAATTTTGTTAACATTTCTCTAAGTTTCTATTTTTTCTATTTGTCACAATACATTCTAGATGATATTAATTTTTTTCTGCAGCCTTGAATTTTGGAGAATGGATGTAAGTTTATCTTTACAGTAATTCTTATGTGTGTTAAAATAACCAATGAAATTAAAAGCCAGAACAAGTGATGACATGTTAGCCATTGGCAAATGTGGTTGTTACAGCGGTGGGACTACCAGTTTAAGTTATAGTTTCACT